AACCCAGTGAGTTGTGGCTGCCAAGTCTGTCACCCTTTGCCCACCAGCAGTCAACCTGGCCTGGAGTCAGGGTGTGGGGTTCCGCTTCGGGCCAGTAGGTTGGGAGCCGTTGGAGAGGGCTTTTAGGCATCGTCTTGCAGGTGAAGGGACAATGCTGAAGGAACCCTGACTGTGCAAGTCAGGGAGTAAGCTGGAAGCTGGTGGCTTGCAGGGGAGGTGGTATTGAGCAGGGGAGGCTCAGGACACATTTCAAGACCCTGTCCTCTTAGTCCACTCTGGGGGACAAAGGACCCTTTCCCTGTGGTATATAGCTTACAAGATAAATGAATGTCTTATAAGATTAAGCTACAAAGTAATTAATAAACATAGCCACAATGCACAGCAAATAAAAAGAAAGCAAAAGAGCCAAAGGAGGAGCGACTACAGGCAGGGCACTGTGCCGCCTTACACAGCCGGTGCTGGCATGCACCTCAGTGAACAAAGAGCATGTGTTCCAGTGACATGCTTCTTTGTCAGGGGCTTCACTGCCAGAGGCATAAATAACACGGGCAGAACAGGGTGTGTCTCACTGCCCTGCCAGAGTCTATGGGACTTGTCATTCCACAGGCCTGAAGGGGCTCTGGTTTTAAATGTTGTACGGAACATCATTTGTGCATGTGTCTGTGTGTGAGAAAGACATAGAATATATAATTGCATCTACTTTGTAGTTATTTTGTCCATGGATTTATGGATTTGAATAAGGGCCAGAAGGGACTAAGGAAAAGTGAAAACAGTTTTATTAGGGAGGCTAAACTGTGGGTAGATTTCTTTTTATTTCCATTGATGATAATATTGGCCCAATAAGTATAAAAATACGTAGTAATGCCAAGCTTTGACACTCTGTTGAGTCTTAAAACTGCCTGATAAGCCGGGCTTGGTGGCGCACGCCTGTAATCTCAGCACTCGGGAGGCTGAGGCAGGAGGATCGTTGCAAGTTCGAGACCAGCCTGGGCTATAAAGTGAGCTCAAGGCCAGCCTGAACTGCATAATGAGACCCTGTCCCAAAAAGACAAAACAAAACAAAACAAAACAAAACAAAACAAAAAAAAACTGCCTGATAGTCAGGATCTGTGTGTATTCCATGCAGCTCTAAGATGTCTGAGAACACTCTAAGCTAGTTTGTAACTCCTTGGACCTGCTCCCCACACCAAATCCTCGGATGGCTCAAACTCTTACACACTGGGTGGTTGTAGACTTTAACAAATCTGAAAATGAGAGGAAAAAGCCCTGCTCAGGCATTGGTTTAACTGGCCTACAAATCAGTTCAGCAGAATGGACACATTTTCTCCTACGGCAGCATATGAAGGTGATGCATAATGTAGGGGAAAGAAATTAGTATTCTTTAAATACTAAGTACTGCCATTCTTTCCCTTTCTCCCATACACGTGTGTATACACTGGTAAGAAGAAATTTCCTTGGAGCCAGGCATGGTGGCACATGCCTGTAATTCCAGCTCTATGGGAGGCTGAGGCAGGAAGATCTCAAATTTGACCACACTTGGGCGATTTAGCAACTTAGTGAGACCCTATCTCAAAAATAAAATAGAAAAACGTGAAGGTTATATGTCAATCCCCACTACCATGAAACAAATAGATTCAAATTTCTGCAGCCTAGTGTGTGTACCTGTTTAGAGCAGTTGGGCAACAAATATTACTCATTGAAAGATCTAACTTCTCGCTGGACTGTGAATTTATGCAAATATTTCTGATGATAGGAATGAAGAGGAGAGGGCTGGGGGGTGTGGCTCAGTGGTAGAACCCTTGCCTATGGTAGCATGCCCAAGGCTCTGGGTTGATCCCCAGCACTGAAAAAAAAAAAAAAAAGTGGAAGAGTGGGAGACTGTCTCTAGAACATAGCAAATGCTTTGGAACTGTTTTGTGTTGAAAAATAATGATACATATACTAAAAATTACCATCTAGGATGGTAGATTATAGACACAAAGGAAAAGGAGAAGCAAATGTTTAAGTGAAAATGTGTTAAGGAGTGAGATCCTGTTCATCTAACTGTATAGACAGACGCAGGTCCATTAAAAGGCCCCTGTCAGAGGACCCTGGCTCCTTTCTGCTCTTTGACCAACTGTAGGTGCCAGGCCTTCCTGGTGCAGCAAGAGAGAGCTGACTACCAGGAGTCAGGTCTCATATTTACTAAGCACCATCTTTATGCCAGGGACTGTGAGTGAGACTTTGCTGTGTGTTGCCTCACAGTTAATTCTGGCAAAGCTCCCTGAGACAGGACTACAATCCACCTTTTTTAGTGTTTAGGAAACAGGCGCAAGGAAGCCAAGTGGGTTTGCTAAAACTCACGTAACTAGCAAGAAGCTGGTTTTCTCTGTCAGTAAAGGCTCACTGTGATTTGTTCTCATTACTTTGATCTGCTAGTCCTTGCATCTCTTCTGGAAAACCATTTGTTCCCTGCTTTAAGAAGATGTACATGCACCAGGCATGGTGGCACACGCCTGTGATACCAGTGCTGGAGCGGTGGAGGATGGGCAGAAGGATCACTTTCAAGGCCAGCCTGAACTATAGTGAGGACCTTGTCTCAGAAAAAAAAAAAAAAAAAGCGTCATGTACTAACTTCCCACACTGAATTGAATGTAATCATTGTGTACTACAAATATGTGCTAATAACAAAATATATAAAATTTAAAAATTCTATCACCCAGAAAAATAAAATAGGACCAGGATAGGATGGAGCATAGTTAGAGCACTTGTCTAGTATGTCCGAGGCCCTGGATCCAATCTTGGTACCAAAAAATATTGGGGAATCAGATTGAAGTTTTGTTTTAGAAACTTGCATTTTCCCCCTGCCATTAAGATAAATCTGGATGAATATAACTTTGCTCAGTGATTTCTCTTTTTATTGTATCATTTGTATTTTGTTTTGTTTTTTGAGACAGGGTCTTTCTATGTAGTTTAGGCTGGTCTTGAACTCACTATGTAGCTCGGGTTGGCCTTGAACTCAAAGCAGTCCTTCTCCGTAGCTTCTCCAGTGCTGGGCTCCTGCCTTGATTTTTCTGTTTAAAGAAGACTCTAGGGAGAGGGGAATGTGTTCCATCACTTACTGGCTGTGTGCTGTTGGGCAGACCCCCTAATCTCTCTGGGCCTTAGGCTGCTTATCTCATCTTATTAATTGAACATGGTCATGTTGGTGAAGCTCCTCCCAGGCCCACTGTCTGGCACTCTCCTTTTGGGCCCTTCCACAGTTTGCAAGCCTGAGTTCTTCCCTCCTTTAAGTCTGGATCCCCAGAGCTTACTGACCCCCAGAATTAGCAACTTATGGCCATCAGCCTCCCACCTCTCCTCCATGCAGCTAGCCTTCCACTTTGGCTGAGGATAAAAGGGCTGACCCCAAACCAATATAAGTGACTCTCAAGAGTCAGACTCAGCTGGGCGTGTAATCCCAGCACTCGGGAGGCTGAGGCAGGAGGATCTTTGTGAGTTCAAGGCCAGCCTGAACTGTGTAGCGAGACCCTGTCTCAAAAAGACAAAAAAAAAAGTTAGACTCATCTTCTGTTTCCCATAGCCCTTGGTCTCTCTTGAGGAACTTGGAACATGCCCCTGAGCTAGACTGGAAAATCGCTGAGTGCCCCTTCCTCCATAATTAGCCAGCATCCCTACCATCTGGACCTCTGTAGACTACACAGGGCTTTCCTTGTCTTCATGGAACTAAGGCTGATCTGAGTTCATCTCCTGCTAATTGAATACCACCATCTGTTCTCCAGCTCACCCCACCTGCCTCTCCCCAGCCAGACACCCCTCAGCCAGGGTGCGAGTCAGTCCTCCCTCACTCTGGACTCTGGCACAACTGAGGTAGTTGGTTAAGTGGTCCCTAATTTGCTAGTGTGTTCTTGGTCGTTCTCTCTTTTGTTTGCTTGGTTTTGCTCTCTATTGGGGATTGAAGTGAGGGTCTGCACATGCCAGGAAAGTGCTCAACCACTAAGCTACAGTCCCTCGACTTTTTAATTATTCTATTTTGAGACAGAGTCTTGCTAAGTTGCCCTGGCTGGCCTCTAACTTATGATCCTAAGGTCTCACACACTTGGGTAGCTGAGATTACAAGTATGCACCTCCACACCTGGCTTCATTAGACCCTTGTTTAATGAAGACCATATTTCCAAATATCCTTGTACTCTAATTCTTCCTTAAAAATCAGGTAATCCTTGCTCTTGGTTTTTCTTTATGTCTATCTGTGTATGTATTATAGCAAACTTGGAAACTAAAACAGAAAGAAGAAAATAAAAATGACTGCCCCTGGCTAAGCTCTGCGCACATCTTGGTGTCTACTTCTCCAATCTTTTCTCTGCACACACATGGCACTTTCTCAGGTCTCAGATTGTGAGAAGCATCAGCTCAATAACAGCTTTTTTGGAACTTGGAGGGGAGGGGAACCCACTATATCAAATATTCGTATGAATTATAAGAGATGTCCTTATTTCAGAAATAGTAAGAGATGAAAAAAGTATCATAATATCTAGGAAATACTGTATATAATACATTTTAAATATTTTTCCAAAGTAGGATGAGAACATAACCTGCTATTTTAAGTTAACAATATATTTTGAACATATTTCCATGCCACTGAATAGTCTTCTATAATATATATTCCTTGAGAGTGTCCTTTTACAAAGTGAATTTGTGCCGGGCATGGTGGCACACGCCTGTAATCCCAGCACTCGGGAGGCTGAGGCAGGAGGATCGTTGTGAGTTCGAGACCAGCTTGGGCTACAAAGTGAGCTCAAAGCCAGCCTGAACTGCATAGTCTCTAAGAGACAAAAAAAAAAAAAAAAAATGTGTGTGTGTGAGAGGCGGGGGATTGGGCATTGAATCCAGCACCTTTGCACTGAGCTACATTCCCAGTCCTTTTTTAATGTTGGGTTTTTTTGTTTTTTCTTTTCAGACAGGATTTTACTAAGTTGCTGAGTTGCTCCGCTGCCTCAAACTTTCCATCCTTCTGCCTCCACCTTCAGAGCATTGGGGTTATAGTTGTGCACCACCATGTCCAGGTGAAAATTTATTTTTTTCTGGGTACAAGAACAGGAAAATACATGGTATTGTCTCCCTAGTAGGAGAAGCTGAAAGACCAAGTAGGATATGTACTATAAATGTATGTTAACTCTGGAAATAATGCATGTTAGCCTTCCAAAGTTTTTCCTTCCTTTTCAAAATTGTTTTAATGATTTCAAGTCTTTTGGATTTTCATAGAAAATTATCTTGAAGTGTTTCACCTTAAAATGTTTCTTGAAATTTTTAATTTCTCTGTAATGTTTTTCTAGTTTTCTGTATATGGGCCTCGTAAATTTGGTGGTGAGATTTATCACTCTTTTATATTTTAATACTCTTGTAACTGATGTGTTTTGTTTTCACTTGTTACCGTGAAGTGGAAGTATAGTTGCTTTTCAATAAACATTCATAATTTTTTTTTAAAAAGGAAATACGTGCAATGCCAAGAAAAGTATAAAGAATGTAAGTCCAGGCACTGCGGCCCTGCTGCCATGAACTAAGCAGGTTTGTACTTCCACACCCTTTGCCATGAAGTCTCTGCTTGGAGCTAGCTGATCACAGACTGAAATGGTAAAGTAGTAATTCACCTGTGTTGTGCCTCAGGATGGACATCTGAATCTAGGATCTCCAGCATCTGGAATACGCCAGGCACATGACCTTTGTAGCAAATCAGTGCTGGGGATCAACCCAGGAGCCTTCCCCATGCTAGGCAAGTACTCTATCACAGAGTCACATCCGCAGTGTCTAGGTCAGACTTTTAGACTCGTAAACCCAAGTGACTACTGTACATCTATCCATATGTAGCCATCCCAGAAGTACATACAGGGAGCAGGCCAAGTCGTTATGACTACTGGAGTTGTCAAGTCTGCCCTGTTACCTCTTCCCTGAAGAACTGGCAAATTAAAACTGCAATGAAGCAGAAGGCTTGAAAAGTGAAGGGGGCCAAAGAACAGCCAGGCCGTACAGACAGTGTTTTGAGATAGAACTTTTTAGGGACATTAGAGAAAGGCAAGTGGCCACATGCGTTCTGCTACACAAAATAACTAAGATGGAACCAGGGAGTTACCTTGTCTGGACCCCGTTTGCCCACGGGTCCCAGTGAGCTCCACAGGCTGGATGGCACTGGGAGATGACGGTGCAGCTTTAAGGGCTGGCTAGGTAAGAAGTCGCCAAACAACGCTGTGACCACAATCATGCTGACAAAGCCAGGGCCAGACCTGCAGCCTGTCTCACTGTAGACTGCCCACATTTGGTAAATAAACAAATGAACGAAGAAACTAAAGAACATAAAAGAATAAAAGTCACCTAAAATCGCATTACCTACAGCCAAGCACTCTTAAACATTTTTGTGAATATTTTCCAAGCTATTTCTCTATGAACGTAGATGCATAATGTAAAATAAATACTTGTATGTAAACAGAAGTCTACTGTAAGTGGGACTCTCTAAAGTGCTTTTCTTTTTCACTTAGCAAGTAGATCAGAGATTGTTCAAACCCAGTAGAGCTACTTCATCTTTGTTGGGGGTGTGGGGTGCTGGGGATCAAACCAGGTTCACACTAGGCAAATGCTCTACCACCAAGCTACAGCCCCAGCCCTTGTTAACTTTATATGGAGACAGGGTCTTGGTAAACTGCCAACTTTTAATCCCACCACATTTGGCCTGTAGTTAATTTTAAAGGATGGATCATACTTTATTGTATGGACAGAATGTAATTTATTCATGTAGTCTCCTACTAATAAACATTTAGGTTCCTTCCAGTTCACCATTATATATAATATCCTTGTTAATAAATTCCTCAGAATAAATTCCTAGAAGCACAATTATCTGAATGAGAAGTATACACATTTCAAATGCCCAAATTGCCTTCAGAGGCTGTACTGTTTTTTATAGTCCCATTCGCAGGGTAAATTCTTCCTCTCATCCTAGGCTCAACAAGGAATTGTGTACAAAACCAATTAGTTTTCTTTAATTTTCTTTCTTTTCTGTTTTGTTTTATTTTGGCTTGTTTTTTGAGACAGGGTCTCATTAGGTAGCCCAGGCTGTCCTTGAACTCAGATCCTCATGCCTCAGCTTCCCGGATGCTAGAATTATAAGGTGTGTACCACCATACCTGGCTCTGTCAATTAGTTTTCAAGGAAGTTGCCAAAATAATTCAGTAGAGGAAAGAAAAGTTTTTCAACAGATGATGCTGGGACAATTGGATCTCCACACTCAAAAGAATATGGTTGGACTCCTTAACTTCACAGTTATAAAAATTAACTCAAAATGGATCATAGATCAAGAATGAAAGAGATAAGATTCAGATGAAAACACAGGAGTAAATCTTTGTGACCTTGAATTAGCAAAGCCTTCTCAGATGAGTCACCAAAAGACAACAAGCCAAGGAGAAAACAGCTATGTTATACTTCATCAAAATTAAAAATGTTTGTGTTTCAAATGATGACTTTCAGAGAGTGAAAGGAGCTGAGTGTTGTGGTACATGCTTGTAACCCAGCACTGTGGGACACTGAGGGTCACAAGTTCAAGCAGTGTAACACTACCTTGAACTCAAGGCAGTCCTCCTGCCTCAGCCTCCCAAGTGTTGAAATTACAGGCATGTACCACCATACCCAGCGTGGTACAGTTGTTTTTGAAAACTTTTTGACTGTCTTTCAAAAAATTAAGCATAGACTCAGCATCTGAGCCAGCAATTTCACTTTTAGATTCTGTATATACCCAAGAAATCGAGAGTATATGTTTACACAAAATTTGTACACAAATGCTTATAGCAGCATTAGTCCCAATAGTTATAAAATGGAAACAATCTTGAATGTGGATAAACTGGTAAATGAAAATTGGCATATTTATACTATAGAATGTTATTGGGCTACAAAATGGAATGAAGTACTGAACCATGGTACAACATAGATAAGCCTTGAAAATATGCTCAGTGAAATAAACAGGACACAAAAGGACCATATACCGTATGAGTCCATTTATATGAGATGTCCTAACAGAAAACCCCTTAGAGGCAGATGAGAGATTAGCAGTCCCTAGGGGCTGGGAGCAATAAGGAGGGACTGCTAAGGAGTACACGGTTTCTTGTTTCCCTCTTCATCCCATCTTCCTCCTCCTCTTTTTCCTCTTCCTCCTGCTCTGCTCCTCCTCCTTCGTCTCCTCCTCTTCTTTTTCTTTTTGTTTCCTTCAGTACTTGGGGATTGAACCTCGGGCTTCACACTGAGTTACATCTCTAATTTTTTTCTTTTTTAATTCTGAGGCAAGGTCTTGCTAAATTGCCCAGGCTGGCCTCAAACTTATAATCCACCTGCCTTAGTATCCCAATTACTTAGGATTGCAGATATATATGGGCTTGGGGTTTCCTTTGGGGATGATGGAAATTCTCTGGAATGTAATAGTGATAACTGTACGACTCCATGAATGTACCAAAAAACACTGGAGTGTGTAGAAGTGACAACTTCATGGTATGTGAATTACATCTCAGTAAAGCTTTAAACAATTTTTATCAGTTAAGTAAGTTGACAGTGATACCCTCTTGTAAATTTTCACTTCTTTATATAACAAAATTTTTTTCAGATATTTTAAAGACATTTATGTTTCTTTGTAAATTGCCTGTTTCATGTTTGTTGGTATTTTGAAATCATTTATTAATTAGTAAGCGCTCTGTACATATTA